ATTTGAGGATTAGACTTGTATGCGCCATGCGGCCGAGTGGTGCGCATGTGCGATGATCTAGGTGAAAAAAGCTGGGAGTGGCACTCAGAATCCGGTGCTTGAAAAACATTATGATTGACGGAAAGAAGGCATCACGATACACTTGCCAAAACCATCTTTCCCCGCAAGTGCTTTCGGGACGCAGGCTTGGGCTCTGAATGATGTCAAGATGACAATTTTGTTTGTGCTTGGTGTGATATAATACATAACATCAAACATTGCAAGCTTGTAACAAAGAGAATACAATTTCTCTTTCAAAACCTTAGACTGGCGCTAAATGATGGTGTATGGCTAGTTATACTCAAGGCTTTACTTCTCTAGTTGATCAGATAAGGTCCGGTTAGCTTAGCACAATAGGTGGTACATACCACTGTTGTATGTACCAAGTACAACGAGTTAGATGCAACAGCCCCGGCAAGGATGTACAATCAGCAGCCAAAGAAATTAGGGGGCATGTTAGGGCATGTTTCGCTAGGTTTGACTATTGATAACACTAACGATGCGTTGAATTTTATTCGTGAGGTTAAAACTCACCGCCCGTTCGGATTGTTGTCCCTAACTTTCAAACACCCAAGAAACTGGATTCTCGTTCGTGCGCTTAGCTGCTATCCAACTCGATGCACCAAAAGAAATATACTTCGTCTGGCAGACGCCTCTTATCGCTTGTTATCTTCCTGTCATGGTGCTGTGTAGCCTGCGTACCGATGGAAGGTCACATTCCGATTGATACCAGCGCAGCCCTTGGAGTATCGAAGGAAGAATCTCCCCATTTTAGAACGGATACTGGCTTGTCCAGAAGTCGGGAAGCTTTACTGGACTCCGGCGTTACGGTGTCGGAACGAGCACATAGCAGTGAGCGCATGATTCAAAAATACACAAATATGGCGAAACTACCTGTCCAGTCACTCCTGACATTAACTTTTGGCATTTTTGTGTATTTCCAGACGCAGTTTCATTCTCATCTCGTAGAAGACCTGCCTTGTCTGAAGGAACAAAACGTCAAAGGCCAATTAAAGGTGGACTGACCGAGGCATTGGTTGCAGATGTTCATGGCGGCGAAGGACCATCGGTAGCTAAAAGCGCTCAAGAACTTTCAGATGAATGGCAAGCAGATTTACATGCTGGGTTGAAAGAGATTTCCACTTCCAGGGCTTATGTGACGGAGTTGATTCAAGGTGAGAAGCATCAACATCATATTCCTCAGCTGCTTAAGTTGGTGTTCCGTTTCCATCCGTTTTTGTCTTCGCATTTCATCTTGACTTTTGTTTCTGTTCTTTTATATTTCCAATTCATCGTAGATAAGAAGCTTTTTGAAACCATACCCAGGTATCTAGATGTTCTCATCGGGAAACAGCTTGAAATAATAAAGGAATTGAACATGGTTCCCCAAAACGACAAGACCATCATGGGTGATTTTCTTGCGAATTGGCTTCATGATCCCAAAACGTTTTTTGAGCTGGAAAAAGCCTTCAAGCCAAAATCATCAGGTTCCAATGAGCTCTCATCTTTTCTGGGCGCCCATTCACCTGAGGAATTGGTGCACTTTGAGCTGCAGGTTCGAAAAATGGTTCACAATACCAACAAGCGTTTATTCCGAATGATAATCAAACTAGGCCGGGAGGGTTTAAAAAAATTGGCTGAAAACAGTCAAGTCACCAAGAAGTTGAAGAACCCAGATGGATTGGCTGAAGGTTCGCAGGCGTCAAAAGGTGAGTATCTCTTTATCTGCCAGAATTTGTCTCGAATTTTTGACCCTAGCAATGCTTTCATTGTTTATGTCAAGGCCAACTCATTGCTGTCAATGGTGGAATGAAACAAAACAGTCAGCTCAATGGGCACAATCATTTTGCTTCGGATCAACATATCAACTTTTCTGAAGAGGGGAAGCGTTTGAAAAAAGAGGAAAATAAACTAAGGAAAGACTTTGAAGACGCCTTGCAAAATAAGTTGAACAGCAAAGAAGTAAAGAGTCAGTTATAAGATACAACCAATAGACACATTTTAATACATTCTTACATGAGCCGACTTCTTCACGCAAATAGGTATCTATGAACTCGTGAATAGGATTTCGAACTTCAACGTCCGCAAACAGATCGAATTTACCATTGAACAGCAGGAGGCTTTGGATGAACTTTTGGAGGATTTGCTTGCAGTAAAAGAATCACCTGCGGCACCCAAGTTATTATACGGAATTTTGAAAGGCGCCATCCAATCAACATACAGCATCATGAAAGGGTTGCCTAAGGAAACTTCCGTCAAAACAACAAACCCTTTGAAGCTATCTACCTTGTGGAACGCCCAATCACCTTCTGATTTGAAGCGGTTTGCGTCTGATGCACAAACTTTTCAGAATAAGATTCATCGTCATTTGCTAGATTTGTTTAAGCAATACCGACATTGGCACAGTTCGCATTCTCGATCAATGGACTTTTGGATCGATCAGGCACAAGCCATACTCAACCTGGAAGAAATCAAAAAAGCACCCTCGAAATTTGACACTTGTGAGTACATAATTGGCTTCGAATTGATTCTGATCTAGAGGCGCTTATTCAAACATTATCGTTATCTATTTTCAGCCTTCATATACCAATTGCAAGAAGCAGAGAAAGATTTTGAGCAAGCGCGGCTTACCTCACGATGAGCTAAAAGTGTGTAGTCAGAGAAATGAAACTAGGTATAAATTCTGAATGGGGGCCAACTCTTTTTCCAAAAAAGGACATATTAGTACATAGTAGGCAAGAAAACTAAGTCTGATGAGTGACCCAAAAAACTGGGATATCATATCTGCTCGCATGCAAATTGGTTCATTATTTTTCTGCTACATTGGTTCTGCTTTTTTCCAGTTCATCGTTTGATTCTTTTCTCCATTTTTGCTGACATCCTTCCATTTACATTTGACTTGAATACACTATGGCTAAGACATGTGCGTATAAATATTAGGTTGATTCACTTTGAGCAATTTGGTGTCATTCTTATAGTGTTTATGCTAGAACGTTTAAAGCTTTCATGTTGCTGAAGTTGCTCAGAAATGACTTTTCTAAAGTGTAATTTGGCCTATGGCATTGCACACTATGAACCTAAGAAAGGGAAAACTCAAAAATGTCAACCAAAATCAGAGTAGAACAACCAAACACACTACCAAAAGATGCTAGTGCTATAAGAAAATATGCTTTGAGCAAATACCTGATTTTGAGGCGACATACCTTCATGAAAGTTTTAACAACAAATTTGCTAAATATATAATGAGAGGTGCTAGTTATGTGACTGGGGCTGTGAATTGAGTACAGTGGAATGTATGCATGCAATACATATAATTAGTAGGGTTCATGATTGAGGTTAATCAAATTTTTAAGCCCATTTAAAGGTGCAAGGGTTTTTTTTTTGGTGTGTGGATTTTTCAGAAACCTTCAAATCTGTATGACTTGTAAAAATTCCAAGATGTTGGTGATAAATGTCTGAAAATTGGCTCTAAAAATTTAAAAATGGCAACCATGAGCCCCACTACTTACAAAGAGTTCCCAAAGCCTTTTGAATGCCATACTTTCAACACATCCAGCAAGAATGAAGCATTTCTGGTAGTATACCTGAGAGAAGGATGAGAGGATGAAACATTGTTCCAACAATTCCACCCATTGATTGGAGGAAAATCCCCAGAGATGCACAAATATGAATACCCAAATGTTAGGTCACATGTCATTTGTGTTGTCAATTGTTTTTTAGGGGGCAGGGGTTGTCAGTGGAGGACTTCCCGTTGCCTAAACCACTTGATCTAGAAGGGGTTCCTAAACTCTATTGGCTGGTGAAAACTTGATCTTGATCAATTTTTGCCAGCAAATAACGTTTGGGATGTCCTTCTAAATTAACAGATTTGGACGACAGGAAGTCCTCCAGTTAATTTAATTGGAAAATGTCCCAAACATTAGATGACTATTGCATAAATTGGCAAATCTCCTCTATCTCAAAAATCAGTATACATGAAGAATATTTCAATGAGAAAGCTCAAGGCAATGAAAGTATAGAAGATTCAACTATTTTAAATTTTTCTGAATTGAGCTGTCCATGAAAGTTGAGATAATGGTGAGCTTGAGACTTGCAAAATCACTTGCTATCTAGAATCAGCACATTTGGATCCCTTTGAGATGAGCCAGCCATTTGTATTCTGAATATGTGGAATTCCTATATGGCCATGTAACAAATCTGAGCCAATGTGGGCCTGGATGATATAAATTGAGGAATGCCCTTGCTATCTTGAAACAAGGCCACTTTTTCCCAAAATAAACAAATGATAGAATGGCCCAACTATGTCATTATGACTCATGAGCAACATCAAAGTGGTGTGCAGATTCTGACATCATTTCTCAATTTCCATCATCCCCCACCCTAATACAAGACCAATTTTCTGACATGTGAGAATGTATTTTTTTTGTTGGATAGAATGGCCCACTTGGGTCACTATCAGTGCCCTCAAATTGTCATGTCCAAAAAGAAGATCATATTTTTTGTGTTTTACTTGGTACACATTTTGTTTGGAAAATTGAGGAAAATAGGGTGGAAACACCCCCAAATGCTACGTAAACCAAACTTTGATCTGCAAGCTATGTGACAATGTCTGATTTTGGTCATCTAGACATAAACTCACTCCTGGGGCCTGTTTCCCCAATTGATGGGGGCCATTCAACCAATACCTTATTGCGTTGATTCATAATACTATTGAACTCAGTATCAGCATGTCATTAGATCTAGGGATAGTTTGCAGTTGAATTGAACCCGTTGGGCTAACCATAGCAGCGGCTCTGTACAAAGCAAATCATGAACTTGTGCATAAACCGTGGATGAGAGACCCCACTTTGTTAGAATTTGTTTTTCATGTTGTCTTTGCCCCAAGTGATGAAATGCATATCTCAGAGCAAGTATCTGTTTCTTGTCCTTTCTTTCCCATAAATGACTAATTCACAAGATATCACAACAAATGGCAACAATATGGAATGTAAACAGAATACAGGGCCATTTTCATTAAACCGATGAGAGAAGTTGAGATGGAGGGCCGACCAAGACTTCTTTGACGAAGTTTAACAGGTTGATCTGTGGGCAAGAATCGCGTGATGGATTCACCGGGGTATGAGTATTCTCCGATCCCAGCGGATGATCGGAGGGTGTGACAGGGGGGCGGGTGTTGAAGTGACGGGCGATATTTTCGAGGGTCACGTAAGACTGGTTAGGGAGAGGATGGGGGCTGTCGGAGGAGGAGGAGGATGGGCAGATGGAGAAGTTCTGACGGTCGAGGACGTTCTGGATAGCTTCGAGGCGGGCGTGCCATCCGGGTCGCGAGTCGGCTGCAGCCGACGGTCCTTGAGGGGGGTCAAAGCCAGCGTGTGGATCGATGAACGGACAGTACTCGCGGTGCTCGTGGACCGGGTTGAAGGCTTTGGTCGATGTGGGAGACGGGAGTGCTTGGCGATGGCACAGTCTGCAATGTAGACTGGGCAGGTCGTCGGACTCGGGTAAGGTGGTGGACCGGCCTGAGGCTGGGTTGGACCCCTGAATAGACGGCAGGGCGGCCATGGACTGGGAGGAGTCGCGTCTCCCTGCCGGGACTCGTTTGATAGACCAGCCGAAGAGAGCCAAGATCAAGGCGTCGGTGGTCGGGCAGCTGCGAGAGGGGAGTGTCGAGCCGGATGAGTTTTCAGTTTGGAGAGCAATCGAAAGAGTAGTGACGACCCGATCGGGGAGATTATGTTGGACCTGGAAGACCGTGCGTGCGTTGGAAAATAAGGCGTCGGAGATCTCGACTGCCACCTTTATAAGAGCCTCGAAAGTTTCCCGACTGCTCTTCCAGCGGGGGGTGTGATAGATGGAAGGAGGACAGCTCCTGCTCCTCCATGGACACGAGCTGCGATGTTGTTCAGTCCTCATCCGGATTCCCAAGGTGACTAGTTGGGCGCCGCTGGAGGAGCCCCAATCGCCCTTCGAGGGAGTCGCAAGGACCCAGGTGGCTCCACAACAAACGCACTTCAGTCGATTCTTTTGCGCGTTCGTCCAGCCGTGAGCGGCCATACTCGGTGGAGATAACCCACGCGGCTTGCCGGCCGGATAGCTAGATAATTTGAATGTCTCCAGTCGTCCTAGGAAGTCTATCTGCGAGCCCGGATTCACTTTTCCTTGAGGATTCAGCTTTGTTCGCAGTTCAGTCTTCACTCGTTTGCTGCTACTCGATTTGCTTCGCCCGTTTATTCGCGATGATCGGATCGCTTCTAGCGCTGGCGTTGAAATTATTCGGCTATTCGAGGAGCTACTAATATTTTTTTTGCTACAAAAGAAATTAGAGATAGCACATAGTTCGTCAAGTTCAAGTTATTCTACCCTCTCCACACCCAAAAAATAAAAAAACAAAAACAAAAAGTATCATTCTTTTTTGACTAGAATTGAGTTTCTTTTTTTTATTAGTAGAAGAAAAGGAAAACATGTGAAGAGTAACGTACGGTGAGCTGGTAATGCTTTGACTATTTGGAGCAGTCCTGATGTCGTTCTGTTGGAGACAATCGATCTGGTTGAGGATATCGAAAGCATTTTTCAATCTTGATGGATCGATTGAGACTGCTTGTAGGCTCGTTGTACTTGTACTGCTTGGCATCGTCGTCATTGGTGGGTACAGTTGTTTGGTTGATGGCAGGTGTTTGCTTTTTCCTGTTGTAACTTGACCCCTGGCTTAACAAAGTCAGGGGACGGGGGTGAGGGGGCCCCCGGTAGCGGGGACCCGGAGCACCTCACACTTGGAAGCGCTCTTTCGGCTGCCGAAATCGAGGGGCTTGGGTTCAGTTAGGCTCAAATCAAGCCCCTCAATTGGAACAATGCAGCTACATAATTGCACCACATTGTCATTATCAACAATTTTCAAGTTTGAAAAAACTAGCTTGATTATCTCTTTTTTGGTTGCCTGAAGCTGCTGTTTCTGTTCAAAACAGACTCATTAAAAGTTGATCTAATTGAGCTACATGCAGAATAGAGAACTAAAGAAATAAGTTGGTTAGTAACAGTCAAAGACTCAATCTAGATCCTGAAAAGCTAGATCCCCTAGCAAAAAAAAAAGAAACTTAGACCTTCTGAGTATAAATCTACATCTTCAAGGACCCCAGAATTGAAAGGAAATTCTTCACTGGAGGACTTTCTGTGAATTGACAGGAAGTTCTTCACTGGAGGACTTTCCGTGAATTGATAGGAAGTTCTTCACGACTTTCCGTAACCATTTACAAATTACACTATGAAAAAATCTCACCAAAATGGTGGCAGTTGACATGCAGGTTACTCCCAATGTAACTTGTGTCATACTGTAAGCTATTCATATGTAAGAATATCTGCACAGTAGCTGTGCAAGGTGCACAGTGACTGTGCATTGAAGTATGGGTGAGGTAATGGTTAAGCAACATTTGAGTAACAGCTCAACTTTGAAGGGAGTTTCTGCATGTCAACAACTGGCAGCAGTTCCATAAGATTTTTTCACAGTGTTTTAAGCCACTCAAAGTTCTAAATTCAGACCAAATCATAAGAACAACCAGCTCACATGAAAGCCATGACCAGAAGGTTTTTGAAAAATATTTTTTGACCAAAAATTAATACCTAAGAGGTGTAAATCAAAACCTGGGAGGGTTGTAAATTGTGATGGGAAGTCATCCACTCTCAAACAAGATATATAAAAAAACATTCCAAAAGATGTAGACAGCTTATCTCAGGTAGTATTCTGGGAATGAAGTCTCCTGTATTGACGAGTATATTTATTATTAGGACAGAATGGATGCTTGAGTTTGCAATAGCATCAGCAAAATGCAGTTGACTGACTCCGTATTAAGTCTATGTAACCCATAATAATGGATACATTTTGATGATTGCTCAGTACATATCACCCATTTAGAAATTTGGGTGGACAATCTTCCTGTGAGTAATTAGTAAAGGGCTATGGACTCTGAGGCATTGATATGTAAAATAGGTGCTGATGCAGTCATAGGCTAATGAAGAGACTCCAGTAGAGAATTCCCCCCCAGTCAAGGGTTTTCCTCATCGTGTTTTTTTTTTTTTTTTGGCTTGGATAGCTGATTACGTAATCTCAGTCATCCCACTCCACTCAAAAACCACCACCACTTCACTGACCACCATCACCATCACCATCACCATCAACACACAAACAACATCCTCAAGATGCTACGAAAATATCAAACCAAGGAAATGTTCAGCGATCCAACAGCAGACGTCAGTAGGATAACCACTCGAGTCTTCATCCATCAGACTTTCTGCTAACCAAACAATTCACATCTTATCTTCCGATCAGTCCATCTTCTGTAACGCATTCGGTTTACCACACGATCAACACCCCCTCACCGAAATCAATGCCAGCTTCAGCTTACACTCCAAACCGGACGTCTACGTGAGTATCAATAAACAACTCACGCCTGCTTGGATGATCAATGATATCCTTGCTGACCAAATAGATAGTCTGGCAAGTTGTCATTAACCGAAAGATTCTTGACCTTCGTCTCTGTCGATCGGAGGTCGTGTCGATTCTCTCTCCCATTGGCTACCATTAGGAAGGTCGAAAAAGTCGCCCCAGTCCACTCCTCCGACTTGGGCCCTCCCCCATTTGCGATCTGTTTGATAGTCTGGCACGAGGACTTGAAATATGTTTGTCTTTCTCTCCTGACTCTAGGTAATAGTGACTGAAATAGAGCTTATTCTGATGTCATCCTGATGAAATTTCACGTTGTTTTTTTTTAAAAAAAAAACAAGGTACTACAACTAAATGGTCTCAAACCAAGCTGCGAGACATTCTGTGTAAATTTGAGGAGCCAGCTCAAAGCAACGGTTCCAGAGATGAAAATTCTCAAACCGTTTGTATCTACCTTTTACTCCGAACATCTGCTTTCTTCGTCCGGTGAAGAGGATGGTACACACACCACTGGTCAAGGAATCGGGAGCGGTCATCACGCTGGTTTGGGAGCCCAGTTTCGATATCCAGGCGATCCACGAAAACTGAGAGAGAAGAGCAAAGTTAAACTATGGAAAGATTATTTCAAACGTACGCAATTGTATATCTAACTTGCCGTTTTCAGTTCATTCTCCCAATTGACTGATCCTAACAATTCACTGGATTGAAATGTATCATCATCATTATCATCATCAGAAAACGGCCGAAATCTGACCCTCGTCAAATTTCCGACATTCATTCGACTCGTCCAAGTTGGTTTACCGAACAAATTGAGGGGAGAAATATGGGAGATCGCGACCGGCTCGGTTTACTTACGAATGAAACAGGCGGGTGAATACGAACGAATACTGAATGATATCGAACTCAATAAGAAGCACAAGTTGAACTTCAGTCTGGATGAGATCGAGAAAGATCTCAATCGAAGCTTGCCCGAATATCCTGCCTATCAGAACGATGCCAAAGGCATTCAGAACTTGAGGAACGTCTTGTCGGCATACGCGTGGAAGAATCCAAGATTGGGTTACTGTCAGGCCATGAACGTGAGCTTCTGATAAAATGGAATGCCCTTAGATTAGATAGAAAATTTTTGATTGACCGACCTGTATATTTATTCAGATCGTGGTGGCTGCTTTGCTGATTTATACTAGCGAAGAACAATGCTTCTATCTGCTATCAATCTTGTGTGACCAAATCTTGCCTTCTTACTATACGCCTACTATGGCCGGTACGATCTTGGACCAAAAGGTGTTCGAGTATCTAGTCGAGCGAACTCTGCCGATGCTTTCCCAACACTTCAAGTCACGCGAGATACAGCTCAGTCTCGCCAGTCTACCGTGGTTCCTCTCGCTGTATCTGGCATCTATGCCCTTGGTGTTTGCTTTCAGGGTTGTCGATTGCGTCTTGTTATTCGGTCCCCGAGTGAGCTTTCTTGTTCTTCCTTGCCCGACCCCGCGCTGCTTCGTCCTCGCGTGGTTTTTCTCGTGTTTTTATCAACAACTAATTAAGTAGAGCCGTTTCTCAATCTTCCATCTCCTTTAAATTTTGTCGGCGTAGGTCTTGTTTCAAATCGGGTGAGTTTTCCAATCCCGTCAGAGTACTATTCAGACTTAGGGGTGTGCTGAACTGTATGTTCATCTGTTTCTTTTTTGCTTGTCTTTCTAAGCCTTGGTAAGCAATCATCAAGCCGACGAAAATCGAAGCAATCTCAGAAGTTTCCGCTCATTCAATCTTGTTGACTTGAAAAATATGTTATTTTAGCTATTCTCAAAATCAATGGCCCAATCTTGCTCAGGATCAATGATGACGCAGAATTGATAAGGTAAGGAGCCATCGATGACGTGTCTGTGTGTTCAATGCAAGATTGAGTTTCAATTTCATTGATATTCGCGTTTGACACTATTCCTCAGTACGATGAGGAACTATTTCCTCACACTAGGTGACTCGGCATACCCGGACTCAGCGGCCAACTCGAAGGAGCGGACGATTACTAACTTCCAAATCCTACTTGTGACGGCCTTCCGGGAGTTTGGAAATATCATTACGGATGATTCGATTCAATCGGCACGGAAGAAGTTTAGAGGGGAAGTGGTCGACTCGATCCAATCATTTTCAAAACGGACGAGTTTACGGAATTTGAAGGAGGTGGGCAAGTTCAAATCAGCTCATCAATTGGGTCTGGTCTATGACCATTTCCAATTAGCGATCTATAAGTGTCAAATGAAATCGATCGGCGGATTGGGGGAGAACAATCCGAATGGGGTCGGTACCAGCCATGGAGTGGCTAGCTTTTGGGAGAATGATGAGATCGATGGGAAGCTGGAACAACGGATTACCAGGGCTACTTTCGCTCTATTCTTAGCCGATATTGCCAGTTGGGCGAGAGACGAGACCTTGGTTAAGTCGGTCGGCTTTTTGGAAAGGGTCGAGCGTGTCGCTGTTGATCACGAGCTGATTGATCGGTATGCAAAGCTGTAATCATTGCTACTCCTTTGTTGGACTATTTGCTGACAGCTAAGTTATGTTTTTTTTCTTGTTACTTTTTAGACTCTTTCGTACTTGGGATCGCTCTCATAAAGGCTCACTCTCGCTTCAAGACATTGTGCTCGGCTTGAGCCAATTCATGTTCAACGATCTCATGGCAAACATGCAAACCTTTTTCAGCTTGCACGACGGCGATAAGGATGGCTATTTGACTAAAGATGAGGTCTTGCAGGTCAGTTTCCTCGATCACACTATCGACTCTACATATGTGAAATACATCTGACTGTCTTTTTGTCATAATACAGCTATCGGAGTCACTTCTATTCATTTTCCGAAACGAGCCGGGTGACCATTATCTTGCTGGTGAGTTTTCAAGCAATAATCTGATTCCGAAGATTCTTATCTTGTGGCAAACGATTGCTAATGAAGAATTGTACTTTTTTGTTTTATCGATGCTAAGCTGTTTCGAAACTAATGCAAAATTCATTTGAATACGCCGATGCGATGCAGAAGGAGTCACTGACCAAGAAAGAATCAGACAGTAAGGACAAGACTGAAGCCGAAACTGATACAGCTCAGCAAGAAGGTGCTGGGCCAACTGAAGCAGCACCCACGGAGGAAGCCAAGCCGAGCAATAATCCAGATGCGTATCTTGGCCTGTCGACATTCAGGATGTGTGTGCTGGCGGACGAGTTATTGGAGTCATTCTTCGAGACCGATTTTACGCAGTCGTGGAAGCTGTCAGATGATCTTTCGAATAGCACTCGAGCGCCGTCGTCGAACCCGAAAGCTCCTAAAGTACTCTCCGACCTAGTCCCAGAAGCTTTCAACCAAAAAGCAGACGAGTTCTTTAGTGGTCTCAAGAGTCGATTCTTGACTGAAGATAACAAGAACGCCTTCTATAAATTTGCCGATGAGGTGGGCAAGAAGCTCGACATTCCCAAGGTTGACCAACGTCTACCTTCGATCGGCAAGTTGGACCTTACCGCAGCCAACAATTCTACTAGAGATAGAGAGAGCCTGTTACCTTCCAACGTACTCTCGAACTTCTTTGGTGGTGGTGGTGGTGGTGGAGTTGTGAGTTCTCAGCGGCAAGGGGGAACTGATTCGATGAATGCGAGCACATCCGCGGCTGGAGGAGCAGGGACAGAGTCAGCGGGTGAGAAGCTGGCCGAGCCCTCGCCACTTTCGCATGCGGCAATGAGGGCGCCTCCGGAGGGCCTGAGTTACGGGAGCAGTCAACGCGCTGACCGGACCGCCAATGAGGATGCAGACGGGCCAGTGCAGCCGGCCCAGGAGTTCAAGCGCCAGTCGATGCCTCCGCCCCCGCCGCTCATCCAACGTGCCCAATCGATGCTCGACGACCGACCACAATGGGCCATCGATCATCCAGTGGAACCCGACGAAGAGGAATCGGAATCGGAAGAGGCAAACCAGAAAACCGATGCTGACCAGGCTCATCCCCCAACCCGTAAAGAACATAGCTCCACGGACCCTGCGAATGAGACTAAGAAAACTAAAAACCAGACGACAGCCTCTAAGGAGGAGGAAGAGGAGGACCTGATGGCTGAGGTCGATCAGTTCTTGGCCGGTGGCGATAACGATGGACTCGATGATGGCGATGATACTCATGACCTCAATCAAAATGATGACGATGATGAATTGGAAGAAGCTCAGAAACTCTTGTCTGCTTGAGTCGACCTCTCCACTCCAATTCACTCTCACATCACACACTTTCAACACTCCTTATCACAGAGATGGTGATCATACTATGTGGCGCTGCTGGTGCCTTGTGTTTTTGTTTTTTGTTTTTTGTTCTTTTTCATTCTTTTAAAAAAAGTGATACACATGTTAAAACTAGATGTATTCTAAATTAGGACAGACCAAATAAAACTAGTATTAAAGATTATTGTGCCCACATTCTTCCCCCACCCCACACACACACACAAATGTTGTTATTTTTGCTTCTAAGTCCTTACACCTCTCTGTGATACTCTTTTTTTACCAAATCAATTCCTGACATTCATCATCATCATTGATATATGTATATATCTATCAACACACACTTTCTTCATTTCAACTGGCTATGTTGTTTTTCTGTGCCACTTGTCTCTATGTTTCATAATCACAAATCAGTTACATCCTTTGATATTGATCAACTTTCCCTTTCCCTCTCCCCCTTCTGTGTTTTTTTGTGTTTTATTGATTATCAGCTTGTACATATCTCACCTCTCTTTTGGTCCCCCCCCCCTCTTCTTTCTGTGTAATATCAGACTATTATCAAAAATTATGTTAACATGTTCTACTTCTATGGAAACATTTCTAGATCTTTTTTACATAGATGCCTTTGTCTCACCTGATAGGGCAACATATAATGTTGTCCTTGAGGGACCTCCCAGAGCGGTGTGAGAGGGATCCTTCAAGGGTCATTTACATTAATTTTTGGACATCTCAAACTTGTGGAACTTGTCAGAGTTTGCACCGCGTCCCCTCAAAGCCATCAAAGTTGAACTTGAAAAAAAAAAACATCCCTCACTTCTTGATCACCTCAATAGGCCTTAGAGCATCTCCACCGCGGTCCATATTTTTGGGTCCCTATCAATTGAAAATATGGACTCGGAACCCTGTTCTGGCACACCAGGTAGTCCTTAAATCACTGGTATTAGTGTAGTGTGGACAAGCTGTCACACTACTTTGAAGTGTGATGTTGTGTGACATTCAAATTGAGGTGTACAATCCTTGGTCCCAGGGTCTGGAGAGGGACCAAGGATGAAATCTGTAAAATACGGACACCAATGGGGACTGTGGTGGGCGGTGTTTTTTGGGCCACAGTCCCTCAATGTGGGATAGGGACTGCGGTGGAGATTCTCTTAGGTGTTGGGGATAGGAGTTAGGAAACCGTTTTGTAAGAAAAAAATTGTCGGTCATTGGAGTGCTGGGGGGGGGGGGAAGTTGCAAAATAGTTGTACACCATCCTTGAAGGACCTCTCTCATGTTTACCAGAGAGGTCCTTTGAGGTCAGTGTATGTTGACTAATTGAGTGCTTTGCCACTTTCTGTGAAAAGCCAGACATGAAATCATCTGGTGCTATGATACTGAGAGGCTCCAAAAGCGAGCAAGAATGGATTCTATTTCCTAGAAACCTTGAGAAAAGTTATCTGCAGAGACTCCAACCTCACCATACCAGACCACACCCCTAACTCAACACAAGTCCCTCCCTGTGCTTGTGGGGCCTGAGCACCCTCCCGCAAGGGAGGGACTAATGTGACAAATGTAATATATTTGGCTTGAGGGGGTCCAGCCATTTTGCTGAAGAAATCTTTTTCCACCAATTATCCCCTCAATATTTTTTATTGATTTACACTTTGTCAATTGCACCATTGGAATCAGAAGATTGTTCTACGTTTTTCTGTAACCTCTAATCCCTGCAAAACACCATTTCCTGGAAACCATGGCAATGTATAGAATGTATCATTCCATGATATTCAACCTGAAGTCCATCAGATAATTGGTGGTCAAGAGGTCTTGTTTTGAGGACTGTGAGACTCTTCAAGTGGCTGCCAAATTTCAATACTCTCAATTGCCAGTATGTGCCCCCCTGTTGGTAGGAAAAAAACCACACAAGTATTTTCCAAACGCTCTGGCAGTTAATCCAAAATTTCTATAGTGATGATGAGGAATAGGCTGGGCAGGAATCATTGCCAAGCAGCCAGTTTGAGACAAAAAACATACTCAAAAGTATGCAGGACGTAGCTGAGATTCAAGGATACAACTTGAACTAATCAGAATTAGTTGAATTGAATTTGGGTTGTGTATTTTTTTAAAAAAAAACATCACATTCATTTTTTGTGTTTTTCTTTTTTTGGCCAACCAGTTGAACTGGCACCAAATGTGTGACCCCATCTCCTGAATCTAAGACAATCCCCGTTGTCCGACCTGATGCATATCTATATCAATATTGCAAGGTCAGATGATGTGGATATCATTGCTTGACTGTATTTTGCTCTTCCCTTTGAATGTGTCTTGTGGGGTGAGGTGACAGGAACCAACAAGTTGATGCCACTATTGGTATTTAGAAAGAAACCGCTAGAGTTGTAGAGGGATTGAGCTCAGATCTCAACAGGAAGTCCTGAAAATTTGGACAGGACTTGTACATGCATTTGCCCTGTGCAACTGCAAGCCTCTCCTACGGAGAGCATCCCTTTGGAATGCAAGCCCCCCCCCCCCCCTCCAGGCCTGGGCAGAGGATTGCCACAACGTGTACAATGTCAAAAGCCTGCTAGAGCTTTTATTTTTGGCTCAATCATAAACAGGAGATGGCTGGGCTGGGTGATCCAATAGCTGCAGCCAGTTTGACAGTTTGGTATCAAGATAGTCTCTGAAACATAAATTGTGAGAATGACTGGGCTCCAATTCTTGGTGGTTAAGGGACTGAAAACATTTGGGTTAATTGAAATTCACATGGGGAAAACTGAATATTTTGCTAATGCTGGTTTATGTTCTAGCTTAACTAGTTAGACCTTTAAGTGCGCTCTCTGTCTAGCTTAACACAAGTCCCACCTTAATTGACTTGAAAAGCAAGCCTCCAAAGGAGGGGCTTGGGAGTAACTTCAGCTTTTTGGCCTGAGAGCTTTTGATGTTTTGGTGGGGGGAAAATTGCCCTACACTTCCTCTCACACATGCGGCCTGCCTGTTGGATCATTACAACTGTGCAGACCTTGCCTACCATCTGACAGATGATGGGTCTCTCTTTTTAACTTGAGCACATTCAAAATGTTTTGCAAAGTCCATGATTTCATGAGCCTGGGTCATCTGTATGTGGCTGTATTGATTTAAATATGTTCACAAGGCAGAAAGAGTCTTGTATTGTGTTTGCAAGAAAGCTTGGATCATTTTGCTTTTTGGATTTTTTGTAATCCTTTCAACTTATGGATTTACCTTTCTGCTTGATTAATTTCAAATATGTTTCTGCCTCAGGTGTCCCAGGGCTTTCAACTTCTTTCTCAGCTCATGTGACGGTCCAGTGCTTGGTCGGCATCACCGATGGGGCAGAAGGGAGTGACCGGTGGTCCAGGTGAGCGGCTTATAGGACCTACAAACTGCTCCGGTTCCAAATATGAACCTCGTTTTTTCTTAATTCTCCTCCAAGAGCATCTACTGGAGCAACATGGATCCAGAGGTGGTTTTATCCCTGGGTCTTATCTGACATCTGTCAAGATAAAACCCGACTGAAATGAAAATATGGGATTAGCAATATCAAATTCAAAAGGTTACAAAAAATTCAAAAAGCAAATCGATCCAAGCTTTCTTGGAAACACAATATTTTGTTGGGTGATAGACAAGATCTGTCTGGTTTCACTGATCCAACAGACATGCCATATTTGTGAGAGCAAGATGGGGGGAAGTGTAGGGCAATTTTCCCCCCACCAAAACATCAGAAGATCTCAGGCCAAAAAGTTGACTTTACTCCCAAGCCCCTCCTTTGGAGGCTCCCCTTGCGAGTCAATCAAGGTTGGGCTTGTATTGAGCGCAGAGGTCGGCCTTTTGGCTCAGCTCTCCGGACAACCTATGCGTCTAATGATCTTTAATAACATGCGCAGAAAATATAAAAACAGCTATGGCGCTCAGAGCATAAACGCACGCTAAACCTAAAACATGAGGTTTCTAACATAAGATTACCCCTGCTCCATCCTCTATTATGACCAGAAAATAAATTGTTCAAGATTCCTCAGTGGAAAAGATTTTTTTTTTTTAAAAAAAAAAAAAAAAAAAAGAATGCTTGGAGGTTGTTTGTCTTCAGGGTTGACCTTCGGAGTACAGTTCAGCATCGCTGCAATGATACGATTTCACTTGTGAGAGTTTCGTCTGCAGAAATTATTTCAAACATCAGTTCCCAGATGCACTCGTATGAAATAGGGGAGTCTTTGACTAGTTGTAGCCTCAAGCAAATACTTGAAAGTGGGAAGGTAATACGACCTTCGAAAATCGAAGGGTACATGGTCACTCACGATGGGGCCGATGCAACACTGAGGAACTTGCTTCTTCAAGTCCGCGCAAGTGTAATCAATGTACTTCGGTTTCTTGATCGCAATCGGATAGATGTCTGTTGGCAAACAAACGGAAGTTCAAATTAAGATTTGTTAGCGAATTTGGTCAAAGATATGATCACCGGAATGATAGAACGACTTACATTGGCCATTCTTCAACTTGCAGAGCGGAACGCTATTGAGTACGATCTTATACCCACGGGTGGCCATTTGAGTAGCTTCACAGTTGAACAGGTGCGGTGGGGGCGGCTTGGGGGTGGCCTTCTCCTGGGCGCTCAAGGCAAACGTAACCATCAAAAAATTAAGGAGAATGAGTAGATGCATGATAGGTGGGTCGGATTTTTGGTTTCAAGGCCAGTTATTTGGAAGCGGTTTCGAGTATGATAACTACTAGAATACTAAAGTGTGGTTTGACTCGAGAGTTCTTGTTGGAGGAGGATGCATCACTTTGGGGCAAGCGCGCCTGGTTATTGCTCTTTTGAAGTAACAACAGTTGATCGATTGAATGATATTAACCATCCCATGTGCCCGGAAAAACCGATCTTCCCAACCGGGCTTCAAGCTGAGTTCGGTACACATTTGAGTGGCTGTCTGTTGGCGAGCACGGTGGCAACTGGCACTCCCCACTAGTCTAGTTCGACTTTTCGTCAGTTTTACAACCTTATACAACATTTGCCATGTAAATCAGACGTATGTACGAAAGAACATAGAAGCTGATATGTAGACGCCAGTTGCGCAGATACAACAACAAGAAGCATTTCTTCTTCACTTGGGATGGATGAACTTGCAGTATTTCACTGACTTGTGGTGTATGTTTTGAGGAACGCCAAGCACCACAGCGATGCTGCTGCAGTATGTTATAGAAAACCGGGTACCGGAATTTTACAAATCATCTTTTGCAGTCGTTAACGATTGCAAATCAAAAAGATTGTAAAATCCCACACATGTGGGTGGATTGTGCAATTTTACCAACCATGGGCTAAAATTGTTGAGTTGCAAAAAGATCTTCTGCAAAAGATCAGTCGGAAGAATCGCCGGTCAACCCAAAATGTACAGTTTTACTAGCGAACTTTGACCTATCATATCACTTGTAAGTCTTCCAGCCTGCAAAAAAGCATCCCAAGGGAGAAAGATCCAAATTTGCAAGTGATAAATTTGCGACCGAGCAAGATGCGCAAATTTTGATTTGTAATATTAGTTCACCAGACTTAAGACTGCAATTTTACAAGTCATCTCACAATTCTCTCTCGCATTTCTCAAGGGAAGGTGCAGCGGGGGTCGGTGGAAACAACTATCATTATGCATAGATTAGGAGATGAAACATTAGAGAACAACAAAACATAAATCAAGCATAAAAACATAAAAAAACAAGCGATCAGTGAGAAATAATGAAAGAGAAGGCCCCACTAGGTCCTACTGAGTTGATTTCTTTGCTCTAGTGGATCTACGTATCTTCTGACTCCCATTGTTGGCAACCTCCTGTACGCCAGAGGGGTCGGTCAGGGTTGTTTGCCCATTGGCTGAATTTTGGGCCGGAGGTTGAGTAGGTGGGATGAGCCGCAATCGGAACGTCAGTTTTGGCTTCTCAGCGGTCTGAGAGGGTCTCTCAACAGTTGTGGCAGGCATCTCGGCAGGCATTTTGGCAGGCATCTTGGCAGGCATCTCGGCAGGCATCTCGGCAGGCATCTCGGCAGGCATCTCGACAGGTATTTCGGCAGGCATCTCGGCAGGCATCTCGGCAGGTATTTCGGCAGGCATCTTGGCAGGCATCTTGGCAGGTATTTCGGCAGGCATCTCGGCAGGTATTTTGGCAGGCATCTTGGCAGGTATCTTGGCAGGTATTTCGGCAGGTATCTCGGCAGGTATCTCGGCAGGTATTTCGGCAGGCATCTTGGCAGGCATCTTGGCAGGTATTTCGGCAGGCATCTCGGCAGGTATTTTGGCAGGCATCTTGGCAGGTATCTTGGCAGGTATTTCGGCAGGTATCTCGGCAGGTATCTCGGCAGGTATCTTGACCGTATTGGATTTTGTGGTACCGACTTTCTTGGGTTTACATCGCCCTTTTTTCTTTGGTTCAGCTGGTCCTAGTGATCTTGTTGCAGCCACTAGTTTCTTGAATCTCATTTTCTTTGTTTCGTTTTTCTTCAATTTGGTTTGGGTTTTCTTAAATGTGTCCTTTGGGTTTGCATTCTTTGGAATTGGAAGCTGAGTGAGGCTGGTTTCTTCTTCGTGAAGACCAGCCAAGTCCGATTCGAACACTGCGAAATTGTCAAAGTTGTCCTGGGGTGGCGACAAGGATTTTTGGTCCTCTTCAAATTCTTCATCTGGGATGGGTGGCTTTTTGGACGGAGGAATGGCTAGAGGTGTACCAGATTCAGAAGCGCTTGAGAGGATGTTTTTCAAGCTCTGGAAGGGTAAGTGTCCAGGTCAATCAGGGTTATCGTCGGAAATCTTTTGGATTGCTTTATTAACATAGTCGTGTTCCAAGGTGGTCCAAGTTCGGGAATAGATGACCCAGCTTGTTGAAGGGTCAGGGCCAGCAAGTGAGCTTGGGACACTGCTGATTAAGCGAGTGTAGCCATCGTTTTCCATATCATTATGCAACCAGATCCCAGTGATGCCTCCCGAAGTCCGCAGAGCTTTGGCCCAGTAGTGTGAATTCGCCCAGTAACCACGAGCAAAGAGAGTGTAGTTGCTTCCACCGACGGTAATTTTGAAAGGCCAGTTGGTTTGGTCCAAGAAGTTGTTCTGGTCAGCAACATTGCCGATGGCCATAGCATTCATGTGGAAATGCAGGTGAAGGGGTGGCTTGGCTTGGTCAAACTTGAGAATCGATGTATCATATAAACGATGGAGGCCGTTGGGTGTGGAAATGTTTTCGGTGAAAAGATCGATATCAGAATTGATCTTCTTCTTTGGAACTGGTTTCGTATTGGCTGGCTTGGAAGTTGTGCATTCCTTGCATATCACCCCAGAAAGCGTTCGGATACCCGTGGTTTGCCAAAGTTGAATCAGCTTGGCTACATCATCATATGGGATCCTGTTTTCCCCAAACATTGCTGGAGAAATCACCAAGACGTGGAAAGATCGTTCTTGCCGAGTCGGGTGAGATTGTTCAACATTGGGCTGGGCCTCGCAAGTGAATTTACGCCGTTCATTCACAACAAATAGCTTGCCCGGCTGAGTGCTCTTGTGGAGTTTGGGATTTAAGGTGACGTCAAGGAAGTAGTCGCAGGATGAAAAGGCCCCAGGAATGAAGTTGTCTGGATATTTCTCGGATGCAAAATCGGAAATCTTGTTCTGTGCTCGAGTGAGGATTGATCGGATTGTCCCCTTGAGGTTCAGTTCATATGTTGCTTGGGAGGTGAAATGCTGAACGAGATAGGAAAAGAGGTCGTTTCCTGTGCCATTGATACCCCGAAGCCACAAGGGGCTGAACACAGCGTATAACGTCTCTAGAGCGGCGGCCAGCTAACATCGATTGGCACGAAGTGGATTCTTAGCGCTGGAAATAGCATGGTACGAGGGGTAGGTCGAGTACTGGTTCTTGTCAAAGTTGGCTGAGTTGAGTGGCCGGCCCAACTTGACTTTCTTTGTTTTGCTGAGAGACAGAGCATCCGTTGTACAGTGGCGCAACCCATGTTACTGTACACGGTTTTTGGGGTTCCGAAATGTTTGAGATAAAAAAAATCAAAAATTCCCCCGGTACATAGGGGTTGGGAGCGGGGGATCTACTGAGCTGTAGGCCTTCAGGAACAAGTGTGTACCGGCTCATTCATCTATTTCAATTCATGCCTAGTAGAAAACACGATTAAAATGGTTGTTAATAAGGGCCGCACTGCCCAAAGAAACCGACGAGCCCGTGAAGCCCTTGAAAAGGAACAGCGATCAACCCCAAAGAAAAAATCAACCAACAAGAGAAGATCAAAACTACCAAAAGCCACAAAACCAGCTCCCCAATTTTCTACCGATGCACCTGGAACCCAATCCAAACCAATACCAATAGACAACTTCGGAGATAGCAAGGACGTGCCTGTAATTGTTGAAGACAATGAGCTCTCTGAATCACAACAAAAAGAGATAGAAAACCGAAATCAAGCAAACGATGTGGTCCAACTTCTTGGTACCCTCTACGGCGATAGTGAGTCAGATATTGAAAACGATGAAGATCAGGATATCAATGAAACTAGCGACAACGACGAAATTCTTGAATGTCTCTGGCCTTTATTTTGCAACAAGAAAGATCTAACCTTGTCATCTACCCGAACCTTAGCCAGTGGAGGGACTGGTTACCGGAAACCCGTCAAGAATCCCAACTCATCATCCCAGAAACTCATCCCCCGACCCCTCCCCAGCTCGACCAAGTGTGATTACAAGAAAAATTTTAAGAAAGCTGTTGGGAAAAATAACGATATAATGAATAACTGGCTTATCAAGACAACACAAGAAGACTCCAGCCCCCCCGTTTCCGACACAGTGCAACATAACTGTATCTTACCTAGTTGCGAAAGAACCCAAGCCCACATCTCCACCAATGCACTCGAATGTCGACTATTGGAACAGTTAGCTAGCTATCTCGAGTCTCCCAATAAGGTCTCTGCTGAAAGTAAAATACGAATCTCTGCGAACAAAAAATGGGCCGAACTCAACTTGGCAATCATCAGTGCGACAGCAACATGCCAAGATAAGCTGAAGAAGAATCCTAAATTCCGATATCCCACTGGAACGATTGAAGATCTTCATCAATTCAACAATCTTCGATGTCAATACACGATATCTGGGGTCAAAAAACCTAGCCTTACTGCGTCACTTGAAACTGCAATCTCGGCAATTCGAAGAGCTCCTCCCCCGGACCCAACTAAACCACCCATTCCAAGGAGTGGAATATATCATGCTCGTCTAATATCTAGCCATGCTGTCTATGTTCTGAAATTCAAGGAGATTAAGAACACCAAAATCGGAAATCGAACCAATCACAAGTCCATCTTGGATGACATCGAACTTCGACGTGAACTCTTTCAATGGGCTTTGACTCAAAAAATTGGTGAAGTGAGTACTTAACTTCAAATCTGAATTGCACAAAACAGCTAACGACCTTGTCATTCAATGGAATTAGGTCACACCGATCTCATTTCGAAACCATGTGTTGAATCACACCTTCCCCACCTTCAAGATTGAAAAAACAATCAGTCGACAAACCGCTACTGCTTGGATGTACAAGCTTGGTTTTAGTCCACAAGAATATCGAAAGTCAATTTATTTCGATGGCCATGAGCGCGAAGATGTTGTTGAGGCAAGAAAGGCATACATCAAAAAGTACCATCAACTCCGCCGATTATCTCGAGTCTATGGAGGTGAAAATCTAGAGCTTGCTTCCCCGGTCGATCCTGAAATAATCGGTGACCAGAAGGAGACTGTTTTTATCTTTCATGATGAATCAACAGTGCATACTAAAGAAAGACCAGGTGTTGCTTGGCTTCTTCCTGGAACTAGCGAAATATGGTCAAAGAATTCTGGACGGCTGATTCACATATCAGATTTTATCCTTGAATCGACAGATCGATTAACCTCTCGTGAAGATGATACCACTCCTACCGATGCTGCTACCATCATATACCCAGGATCAACTGGAGACAAGTGGTGGGATATGCAACAGCTGTGCGATCAGGTAACTCAGAAGGCAATCCCTATCTTCAACCAAACCCATCCAGATTCCCAAGCTGTGTTTGTATTTGACTGCTCCTCAGCTCATGGAGCATATTCCCCGTCAGCACTTCGAGTGCAAAATATGAATCTCAACTTTGGAGGAAAACAATCTTGGCTACACGACTCGGTTATTCCCTCCGATGATCCTCACATACCTCCTCACCTCCGCGGACAACTACAAACCTTTTCGTACAGTCCAGATCATCCTGACCCAGATTGAGCTGGAAAGCAAAAAGGTGTTCGTGTTATCCTCGAGGAACGCGGCTTGTGGCAGCATTACTCTCAAGAAGTTTCAAAATTAGGTCTTCGTCCTCTCAAGTTCCATTGTGAGGCTTGCAAAAGCTCAGGTTTGCATAAAGATGCAACTGAACGATCTGAACGATTGATCCGACAAGCAGAATCCAATGGCTTCTTCCTTTCACAGGAACAATGCATTCAAGAAATCCTCCAAGAAGAGGGATCTCCCAACTCGGCAATTCCCAAACCTAGTGCGGATGCGATCAACCCTGGAATACCTTGCTGCTGGTTTCAAGTCATGCAGCTTCAGTCTGATTTTCAAAACGAGCGACCTCTATTACAGATGATCATCGAAGATGCTGGACATGTCTGTTTATTTTTGCCCAAGTTCCATTGTGAACTGAACCCTATCGAGCTTTTCTGGTCATATATCAAGCAGGGTAAGTTGCCATTTCCTGGATCGTTTCACATGTAGAAATCACGATTGACTTGATCTTGCTCTGTCACAGCTTATCGCCAAGAAACTCATCGATGCAAGACTTTCAGCGAATACAAAGCTCTCTTTGAGAGAATCCGTCAATCCTGCCCTCTAAGCACCATTCGCAAGTACTTTCGACGAATCGATCGGCAAATTTCGGCTTATGAGCAAGGATATAACGGTCCCCAATCAATCAACCTGATGAAAAAGTACTCTTCTCATCGATGTATTCCACGTCGGGCAGCGATGCAGATTGACATGCTCACATCCTAGAATTATTTCCTGCTCATACATATCTTGATTTCCCTTTTTCTTTATGTTCCTACTCTTTCTTTTATTACACATGTTCTTAGCTCTCCTTTCAATTTCTCTCTCTTATCTGGTAATCGCTTTTGATCTCTTGCCTGGTAATCGGTCTCACTCAAGCAATGCACAGTCTCATTGCTATGTATGCCAAAGGATGACGGTGTTCTATCACACAACAGGCTATGTATGTAGTATGTACATATGTGCATGTATGTACTTACAAGCGCTTGGGGAAGCCATGCCTATGGCTTATGCAAGATAAGTACATATATTTAGGGCTGTATGGGCACCTAATCCCATGGATCCGAAATCTTGACTTCCGAAAAAAAAAACTTTTTTGTTATTGAGTTGGGGGCTTATTCCTTTTAACTGGAGAAACTACAACACCCAAGAAGCCCAAATCTATATTAAAAGTGGGTGATAGACCCCAACTGCCAATGAACATTGGGCTCGCGGGCCCGAAGCAACTTTTGGTGGCAGTTGTGTACAGTAACATGGGTTGCGCCACTGTATCTGGTGCCCGACCGTCGTTTGCTGACTCGTGCTTTCTCTTGCGTTTTGCGGGGAACCCCATTGACACCCCAACATCCTTGACCTTTTGTGATCCGTACGAGATTGCAACTCCTTTCATTACGGCCGTCCAGTCCTCTTCAAGCGTTTTCACAAAGGAGAAAAGCTCGACCATTCCAACATAGAGACAAACTTTCCCCTCGCTATACAACAACCGATCATTAGCAATGGAAGGACCAACAACCGAAGAGATTGTACATACGTGATCTTGTAGTATAGACGATGCATACTCTCTTGTGCATTAGTAGTGTCAGGGAGTTTGTCGCGTCTTCGACAAAATATCATTCCCTCAACATCAGCATGGGTCCACCAGTCCAACCATTTCTTGACCTTTGGGTATCGACGGTAGAGCTCATCGACCTTTTCTTCATGTGTAGGTCCATCGGGTTCCTCCAAGTCCATCAGAGCAAGGCAAGCTTGCCGAAATGGTTCCTGATCAATGGGATTTGCAGATAAAGATAAGTAGACACACCCACGTACAAATCTATTTTAAGAACAATATGTACTCACCTCCTCATGGGCCTGGATGACTGAGCGATTCCGCTTCACTCAAGTGATTGACTGTCGAAAGTGCTCCCGACACCCCTTCAACTTCGACTTTGCTGCCTGCTCATCTGGTTCGCGAAATACCTCGATGTACGCAGAAACAAATCCTTTAGCTTGGGCCGCGGAGAAATCCACCACCTGGCATGCCAGGGCATCCCGTTCGAGGTGAGTCATCGATCGATTGAAAAACTGTCGGAAGAAAGTTGTGAAATGTATTTTGTAATACTCCTCGCTCAAGCCTCGCAACCATGTGAATTGTACTGGTATCCAACGTCCCAGTTCTTCACAATACATGGACGTAGTTAGAAGGTACCCGTTTGCAAATGAGCGGTACGTAACATCTGAGAGAAATCCGCCAGAGTAAAGGGCATTGTTCTTGTCTCGAGCCAACAAACGATCGGCCATCCAAGGCGTCTGAAATGTGAAATGCTCTGAGTTCGGCAGAAACGATGACAATATGACCAAGAGACCCTGCCTGGATTTGATGTGAAAATGTCAGTAGGTACATATTTATGGGGAAGGAGACATGAATAGGATAGACTTACGCGGCCCATGCAAACATGTCCAAAATGAACTTATCACCGATCCCGCCCCCGAGTTCATCTGGCTTTAATCCCGAGGCCACCAACATCTTTCGCCTGTGGTACGCTGTTCTGTGGGGGATAGATGGGTGGCATGAGTGAAGGAGATGGTGATGGGAATGGGTGTAATGAGACGTACCGGTCTTTGTGTCCATATGCCGGGTGGATGGTGACAACTGACTGAGATGGTGCATTGGGGTCGACCCCTTTCCGTAGCTGCAAACACGACATCGATTGAGATCAGCCGATGAAAAAAAAAATCAAAAAAACTGCCATATATATGTACCTTCAGCTTGAAAGCCCCCGCTTGTGGGTTCTTTTGAATCTCTCGAGCAAGCTCCAGTTGCGAAAGGGGGTCTGGCTTCTTAGCCTCGGGCCACGGATGCGAATGGTCACCGCTGTGCCTGAGAAGACCCCAACCCGATGCATGTTCGTCAAATCTTACCTGGGCAAGATTGCACTTGCTGTGTGAAACATTTCCTAAGCAATTTCCAGAGAAACCGGGGCACTTCATGGGCCTGGGAGATCAAAAGAATAATTAACATTAACCTTATTAGTAGATTTGTCATTATTTTAGCTGAAAACTTACATCTTCTTCTGATTGAGCTCTTCAAGCTTTTGTTTATTGGTGGATGGGGCACCGGCCCAGTTGCAATCCGGGTTGTCGCAAGTCATAGCGCCAAGGCAAAAATAACGGGTGACTTTCCAGCAATTGTTCCTGCCTCGGCGGTTGGATGAAGAAGTTCTTGAGTATCCAACCATTCCAAAGTTTGTGATGTCGTCCTCGGGAAGTCGCAAAAACGTAGTGTTGCCGTTTGGATACAGAGGATATCCTTGCTTGTCAAGGATACAACCATGATCGATGTATGTTGTGTATTTTTCGTTCATGTCGGGTAAGAACCATTTTTTTGGGTTTGATTTCTTCTTTGCGGCGGACAGCTCGTCTTCTCCAGATGCAATGTTAGGATTGTCAGCGTCATTGGGATCGTCAGCGTCATTGGGATCGTCGCCTTTGGAATTGTGGGGATCGAAGTATTCGGAATCATCTGATTTGGCAGTATCATCGTTGGGGTCGTTACCAGCAGGGGTCTCGTCCGGGAGGGTTGTACCACGTGATTTCAATCGAACCTGTGCCATTGTAGCCGTCAAGAAATGGGAGCAAACTGAAAGGATGAGGGGGGAGCAGAAGACGTAGTGGGAGAGAAGAAAAAGCATTCGACTGACGGGGGAAAGTAGATATCGACATATTGTGTTCAAAAGATATTGGGGCGGAAAATTCTATCTGGTAAGGTTATGGTGGATATTTACGGGAGGGTTGCTGCATGACATCATGGTTTGGTAGATGATGAATAGTGATTTTCCATCCAAAGTCGCCGATGTGTGATTTTACATGCATATATCACAACACATGTAACACATGTGTTGTGACATTGCATTCAAGCCTTTGTTGGGGTAAATTCACAGTGCTTTGGTTACGAATGTTTATTTTACAAGTCACGATTTTTGCTAGGTGGCTTGTAAAATTCCACAAACCCCTAGGGGTTTGTGGAATTTTACAACATATCATTTTGCAGCACAATAAGTCCCTCAAAACATGTGTTGCAAAATTTTAGATCCCCATAGAAAACAAGCATATCAACCAATCACATTGGCCCTCATTGGCCGCACCCGCTCGCGTCATTAAACATCTTGTTCTTGTTCTCTCTCTGAGTCGTGCGGTGATTAACATACTTACCAATCGTGGCTTTTCTAACCACCCCTGTCGATAGTATACATACTGTAGTATAGTCTATGGAACATGTGCGTCTAGGCTCTCTTACAGGATGTTGTCCTATCTCGCTTTGTCTCGGGCCTCGGCGGTCGAGCTCGGTGGGTCCCCGGGGTGTTTTTTTTTCAAATCTGACTGGATTGCTCGGCTACATAGCCCAACCCAGCCGGGCACAAGGCCGAACAACAAGCGTTGCAAGTGTATAGCAATCGGCGGCCTAACTCCAAAAATGAAGGCTGATCCGCCAGTCTCTCTCGACATACGATCTCTTTTCATCCCCTGCCTTGATCGACAACATCAACTGCAGCTACATACTAGGGGGGATGAAGAGCAGGAGGAGGAGGATTTTGAGGACGATGAAGAGGACAAGGATGAAGTTGAGGACACTGATGAAGACAAGAATGATGATGAAGATAACTTCAAATAAGGATGATGATGAAGGCAATTCTGTTAGAATATTTTGTGCTACTTGGTGACTGCTTGCTCTCATATATAAAACCAATTCCACTTTTCCTGATTATCTGCCTGACCCAAACTTCCTTCCCAAAGGGTTTTTTGATAATGAAACAAGTTGTCCTTATGAATGGTGACTATCCCCATCTAAATGTGAGTTTCTTATACTTGCCAAGACAAAATGTCTGTGTACCTGGTTGTCTTACCCCCTCCCCAGACTTATCAAATCATTGTTTTCCAATACCTTTCATTCATCTCTTCTCTATCAAATAAATGGAACACATCCTCAAAGATCAAATACAAGCTCAGATTGTGCAATCTCTGCTCAAATTGTGAAATCTTTGCTCAAATTGTGAAACTTGTGAGTCTTGAAATCAACTGTTGAATGAAATTTTGTTTCAAATTTCAAGATCATCATCAATTGACTTGGAAATTTTATTATTGCAAAACTACTAGCAAATTTAAAATGGAATCGAGGAAAAAAGGTTGAGTAATGGTGAAATTAGGTATGGTCTGTGCAGCAGGGGCCACATATGTTATTAGATAGCTTTTGGCTAAATACAGATATCTATAATTCAGTTACAATATCTTGCTCAGAAAGGGGTCTGCTTTAATGGAAGTGGAATTCCTAGCTAGTTTGTGCAAAAGGGGGTATACATTTACTTTTTTCATCAAATACAGATAAATTTTGTGTAACTGGGCAAGTTACATGAGTAACATTTGTATGGCTTGGCAGGTGGGACAATGACCAGTGAATTTTTCTTCATTCAAGTGAGATCATTCTCTTCAGTAGTCAAAACATGTGTGATTATTGTGTGTCCTGTCAGCTATTTCAAAAGTTCACTCAGAGTCAGGAGTGAACTCAAGATCTCAACTTGGAACTGCAAGAGTGAGGGAGTCTAACCATTAAGCTAAATTCATTACACCACAGTCACACATTTTTCAGAATTTTCAGAGGCCTCCTCACACAAAAGAACATCACCCTTGAATGTTAAGTTACTCAAAGAATAATAAAAATAAAAAAGTATGTCACATTAAATTAAAGTCAAATTTAGTTGTGTTACAAAAACACAAAAAATTGATAACTGAATAAATTTTATGTTATCCAATGATGGTGGAAGGGGTATGTGTGGGCTAGATGAATGGCTCCAAAGCAAGGATTATTTGTTTCATTTAAAAAAGAATGGTGTTTCCAGTATGGCACACTCTCCGGTGACCATGTGATGGAAGGGGTATGTATGAGATAGATGGATGATTCCAAAGCAGTTATTCCTTGTCCATGATGCTCATGAAAATCCACACTTTCGAATCAAGTAAAAAGGTTAAGTAATGGTGAAATGATAATTGGTCATTGGAGTATGTGTGTTTGCAATATACCACGGATTTCAGCTACCATGTGGTGGAAGGGGTATGTGTGGGCTAGATGGATGGTTCCAATGCAGCAATTATTTTTTAATAATGTCCATGGACAAAGAATACCTCCTTTGGAAGCATCAAAAACGTTTGATTAAAGTTGAAACAAGCAATGACCAATTAAATATATGTGTTTCCAATGTACCACATACTCTAATGAACATTTCTCATTTCACCATTACTTAACCTTTTTTCTTGATCCAAATCACAGTTTCTTTGTTCATAAATTCCATGGTCAAAGAATACCTGATTTGGAACCATCCATCCAGACCACACATACCCCTTCCACCACATGGTAACTGAAATCCGTGGTACATTGCAAACACACATACTCCAATGACCAATTATCATTTCACCATTACTTAACCTTTTTACTTGATTCCAAAGTATGGATTTTCATGAACATCATGGACAAGGAATAACTGATTTGGAACCATCCATCTATCTCATAGATACCCCTTCCACCACATGGTCACTGGAGAATGTGCCATACTGGAAACACCGATATTTCAGTGGTCATTTCTCATTTCAGCATTACATACTTAAATTTTCAAAGGCTTCCAAAATACAGATTTTTTTTTGTGTCTAGTCTCATAACCCAAGGATATAAATAACCAACCCATTTGAAAAAAGTAAATAAATCAGACAAAGCCCTGACCAAGCCTCGGGTCCTGAAGCCAATCCTAGTACTTCGGGCTTGTTCAACCAGCCCCAAGTTGGTGAAAAGTTAGTTAATAATATTTTGGAATTGTGTTCTCAGTTAGGCATCAGGTAAGTACAACTTCAGTTTTGAGCATAGTCACACGTCAGCTGTTCTCCTGCTTTGGATTTCCTTGTTTTGTTCTATTGTACAAAAAGGTTGCCAGAAAAGTTGAGTCCCTTCATCCATTCATTGGAGCAACAATGTTTGAAATAGGATGTTTCTTTGCAGATTTTGTTTTGGGCTGAGTACATTGGCTCAAGAATCTTGGAGAAGCTTAGACACAATGAGTGGATATCTGAAGTCGGCATTAAAGCTCTCACTGGGAGAAAAAAAAAAAACAGGTCGTCACACTTTCATTGCTCCATCTACCATTCCTTTTTTTTGCGGCAAGCCAACCTCGGATGAAGCAAGCCCAGCGTCAAGAATGATCTTTCCAATTCCCGACTTGTCAAGACAAGCAGAAGATCAAGATGGCACTCGGGCACAATGGCATTTGTCACCCTGGGGCCTGCTTTAGAAGTGCTGCACATGCAAACATGGATGCGTATAGATAAATAGATATTGTAATATTTTATAGCTGTCTTTGGACTGGGTACAATTCTTATGACGAATGAAACTCGATACCTAGGCCGAGAGGTTGTAGAAGTATCATCACACCCATATGAACATCTAGAAGCTCTTTTTGTAACGGGCAATGATTTCTTCAGAGGTGTACCTAACCATTTCATACTCTGTGTTGAAACCCGCACTTTTCATAGAAAGCTAACAGCTAGAACATCTCGATCAGCCATGAAGAAGCGGGTTGAAAATGAACACTAGAAAGTGCCAACAAACTTCATATGGTCAGTATTACAATCCAATATGGTTTTCGATCCGATTCCGTCTCGGGAGTCGGGTTGAAGCTGCATAGTGGGTGATCGCTGTTCTGGTGGCATCTATCTTGATGGGAACTTGCATGGCTCAGTTCAGAGTTCCAGCTGTTGGATAAGCTCATAGGACTCATTGAGGATGTGGATGATTTCTGAGAGGACTTGTCCTGTGATATGATCATGGTGATACAGGCCATGTGCCCTTGAAGGATTCTGGGTCGGGTTGGCCGAGCAATCCAGTCAGATTTGAAAAAAAAACACCCCAGGGACCCACCGAGCTCGACCGCCGAGGCCCGAGACAAAGCGAGATAGGACAACATCCTGTAAGAGAGCCTAGACGCACATGTTCCATAGACTATACTACAGTATGTATACTATCGACAGGGGTGTTTCTAACAGAAGCCTGCTACAGCTAGGCCGCCTTTTGGTTTCTATGTATCGTCGATTTTTTTATTTTTTTATTTTTTTTTCAAATCCATGGCAGCCGGAATTTAGGAGTCGCCGGGCCCCCAAGGCCGGAACATTTAACAAGACATTGGACCGGGAGAGTCAGCCTCTCTTGATGACCGGAGCCCCAAGGATGGCCTCTTCCATAAGGACCCGAACTTCACTCTCATTCGCCAAAACAAGAGACTGTTCCATTGGGATGTTGGGCTGTTCAAGGGTTGCGAGATTCGTCAACTCGGCGACCCCAGATTTGTCGATTCTGAGTAACTTACATAAGAAGAGACAACTATTCACCTTATTATATTGTAATAACAAAGCTCACCCAACCCTACTTTGCCAGAGGTTTTGTCGGAGAGATACCTGTCTAAAGAAGATGATAAATTTCAAGTCTTTGACTGACTAGGTAGGTTTATTTATAAACAGCTTCTGTCTGGGTTGACCAGCACGCTCCTTCTAGTCGACGAAGGTATCCAACTTCCCACTGATCATGCCAAAAGATAAGCGAGCTTCGGACGAGATATAAATATAAATTGAAGGTTGGATTTCGAGCGAGTGATAAATGATCGAGTAAAAATAAAAGACAGTACTACAGAACAATGTTTCAATGGATGTGTATAACTTATCTAAGCAAAACAGAAAGAAAAAAGCAAAAAAAAAAACGATACGATGATGAGTATACAAGAAGTATATACAAACGAAATGAATATATGTAGCATCGGGGAACCGCGAGGAGTATGGAAATAAGTTGTAAAGAGCTAAACGAGCAATACTACAGGCTAGGTCGAGGGTGTTCCTTGTGATATTTATCAATGAGATGGAACGAAAAAAAAGAGGAACAGTGTAAGGAGAAAAAAAAGGGGGGGTGATGTACAAGATGGGAAATTGAATGGATTGGTGGAAGAAGATGATGTGGGGAATTAGATGCTTCTAACTGCAGAACATCTGATACGCAATTCAATGGGAAGGAGAATAAGAGAGGGAGAGAGGGAATGAGAAAATGAGCGTCTGTGGATGGTATGAGCAAATAAACAATAATAAACAAGAACATCGGAATCTCAAGAATATAAACAAGAATCATGATATGCGGGATCTTGTATTTATGCGAAATCTATATCTAATTAAGTATAGCATGAACGAGTCAAAAAAAAAAGGAGTGTGTATGTGTGAGAATTGTGGGTGGGATAGATAGCAAATTGAGAGGGATTTAGCAAGAGGCTATGTTTGAAGGGAGGGTGAGTTGGCTGGGAAGGATCGAGAGAATGAGTTCGACAATCAATAAGAGTATGATCTCTGAGCAGCTAGTTTTCTTTCATTCGTTGCTGGAGGGTGGGTCGTTGGACGAGAAGCTTTTTCAGATGAGAGCCTCTTGGAGACAGGACGGTTTTTTGGGAGAGATCCGATTTGGGTGACGGAGGAGGCACCCGTTTACGGGGAGCCGACCTCGGGGGCGAGGAGGTCTCAGTTTTGACAGCGGGACTGTTCTTCCTTTCGCGGTCCGGCACAGTCACTCTCTTAGGACGAGGTGTGGTGGGAGTGTTGAGTGTTTTGGGTGCAAGCACTGGACGGGTGGGGGTCAAGCGGGTCCTTCGAGATCCGGACTGAGGGGTCGACTGGGGAGGATCTTCAAACACCGCCTTGGCTTTGGGCTTGGTAGGCGTGATGTTATTCCCGACTCGCTTGATAGTTGGCGAGCGGGTCGTAGTGATTGAGTTGGACCGGGATGGCGATTGGAAGTTCACTTGCTGGATCCTCCGTGTGACGAGCGCTGCCGCTGGGTCCGAGGGCGACGAGCGCAAGACGGATGACGGGAGTGTGCGTTCGAGGGTCCGTCGACGAACACTCATCTCCGACGAAAGAGGCCGGCGGAAGAACGAGTGGGCGAGGCCCGCTGAACATGATTGGAGACGCTCCTTGGGATCTGGTCGTAACATCAAAACCAATAACTGTCTCAGTTCCGTTGAGAGCGTATGAGGTCCTAGAAATTCAGCTTTGAGGGTGCTTGATCGTGTCGTCGAGTCAGATAGCAGATAGACAATTAGCCAAGAAGACGAGAAACAAGTCAAGCTAATGGAACAAAGACTAACCGTTGGTAATATACTTCCAATGCTTCCTTGGACAAAAACTCCTCCTTCTCATTGAGTTCAAATGGGGTCCGACCCACAACTATCTCATACAAGGTGACGCCAAGTGACCAAATGTCGCTGAGTCGCTCATCGTGCTCTTCTGATTTGGCGCGCTGAGGTGAAAGGTATTCTGCAAGAAGTCGGGGGCATCAGCAACAGCTTCTAGGGGCTAATTATGAGTGGGTGTGCAAACTACTGACCTGGGGTTCCCCAACTTAACGTACTCCAGAAGGGCCTCTTGCCAGTAGTTTCTGCGTAGTCGTGCGGGTAGGCAACAGCAAACCTACATAGTTTGAAGATGCAAGGTCAGCGCAACCGAACCAATGTACAGCAAGCATCTGGAGAACAGCAGGAAGAGGGCCTACCCGAAGTCAATCAAGACCGGCTCGTCCTCAACACTAAGCACCACATTGGCCGGCTTGATATCGTTGTGCGAGACCCCGCTCTGATGTAAGAAGTCAGTCCCCTGGAGCAGACCGCGGATGTATCGCCGAACTCGCGCCGATCGCTCGCCCAACCTGACGCTGAGAATCGCCGGATGAAACGCCATCGTCAAGAGCGCGTATGACGGGGTGATGATGAACGAGGAGACCCGTAGGATGTTCGGGTGTGGGGCGCGCTTGAAAAGCCTCAGAATCCTGTCAAAATACGTAGGGTTAAGAGATAAGTCTGACCTATTGATCTGACGGCTGCTTCAAACTCTTCATTGTACTCATGAATCCCCCCTCACAAAAAAAAGAACTCCTCCTAATTTGGCTTACTTGAATTCACTCCACAAACTTTTGATCTTGGTTGCGGTTGTGCCAGATGACTTGTCACGATATACCAACTTGATCGCGAGCTTGCTCGAGGAATGGAGCCGGTTCGAAGGGTTGTTAGGAGAAATACGCCAAATGGATCCCCAGTTTCCATACCCAATTTCACTCTCGAACTGATTTCAAAAAGCCATCAATATTTTGTGTGCAGTACATGGGACAGAATATAGATATATATCAATCGGAGGGTCTCTCACAGTGTATTGGGCGGCAAGGGCTTCGTCGGTGATGGTGAAGATGTCATTTGGCAAGCTGCTGTCTTGAGTGTTTTCTTGGGAGGCCGACGATGACTTGGCGGAATGAGACGAGGGCAGGACGGAGGTTGAGGTTGAGAGACGATGGCAGGCTAGGTTTCTCGATGAGACTGAGGAGCACAGAGAGGAGGAAGAGGTGGTGGACACGGAGTGTGGTTGGATATTATGCTGACTGCTCATGGCGATCAAACAGGACTGGGATGAGTGGTAAGAATTGTATATAGTGGTCAATCTGAATGGGTTTGAAGGATGGAAGTGGTGGGGGGGAAGAAGAAGAAGCTTGGGTAGCAAAGCTTGGGCACTGGTCTCAGCAGAGGTTGGGAGTTTCTTATCCTGCTCTGGTATGAGAACAAACAAGCCTGTCCTTCGACTTGGGGTGTAGGAAGCTCTATTAAAGCAGACGCGGTACTACAATGAATATATAATAATAACTATAACTGTGGGTGTGTATCAAATCATTCGATCAGCTACACACGCTTGGAGGGGGAAGCAAAGAGTTCTGCCGGAATGAGTGCGAGGAATATGGGGTGTGAGCTGGGGTCGACTAGGACTTCGGAGATGGTCGAAGAGTGGAGTCCCAAGTGCTCGTCGTCTTTATAAAGCGGAGGCCATGTTGATTGAAGAGAGGCCATAGATAATTTGAAACCCCATGGAAATATTTAAAGTTTGAGTCAAACTATATTGTAATGTAGCTTGTGGGAGGATGGGTGGGTGCTGTGTGGGTGGCAGTTGATCGATTATACGACGAAGGTGACAGGGATTATGTAAGCCTTATATCCAAGACTCAAGTCAACTCTGACTCTGAAGTCAAGTCAAGATCATCAAGTCTTCTAAGCTCCGACATACAACCAAGCATCCATCACCAGCTTCTGATTAGAAAAGGTGGCCAAGAGACAACACTGATTGTGTAAAAGAAGACTCAGGATCAATTTCAAATGATAAGCTCATTGATCTCAAACTTGTGACTCTGGAACACCAGGGGTCCACTAGAAGTTCTTGGAGTGATTTCAAAAACCATGTCAGTTGAGAAGTGGGGTTTGAGAATATTTTTGGTTGCAAAGTGGTTTTGGGATCTAATCATCCCAAACTTTTATTTTCTTGGGTTGTAATGTGGTTGTGGGCTGGTTTGATCAGAACATTTGATTTGTTTCAACCAGCGGTGGGCCGCTACGCTTTTGGCCCAAAAAGCGTAGCGTAGCGGCACTTTTTTTGCATCAAAAAAATGTAGTGGTAGTGTTTTTATAGTGGATTTTTGCTACGCTACGCTGCGCTGTGCTTTTAGTGGCAAAAACAGCCCAAAAACCGCTAAAAAGCGCTGTAGCACAGCGTAGTGGGCCCTTTTTTGCAGCCCACACGCGTAGCGTTAGCAGTGTTGTGGCGGAATTCCGCTGTGCTACGCTTAACACTAACAGGAATTACGTTGTGTTACGCTACACTAACCGCTATGGTTAGTGTAGTGGCCCACCGCTGTTTCAACAATCATTTTGGAAACCACTTCAAGTGGTTCCTGCAATATTTTTCACACTTGTTCATAAATATCAGGCTGACTCAATCCTCTCACCCTCCAAAGTAGTTCAAATAGCGGATATCATATAGGAAATCCACCTTCAGAAACCAATCACTTTTCCCACAAAAATTTTGTAGCATCAATGGGCCCCAAAGGGGGTTAAATGAAGAACCAGCATGTTTAAAAAAGGGTTTTAAACCAGTCAATTAAATAATGGTGGATTTTGTTATAATTGATATCCCCTAATATCTATTTAAAACACTCCTCAACCCTCAGATGTTCAAAAAATCAAGACTTTATTAGAGATCAGATAAATCAGAGAGCCCAGAAATTACAGAGAATCTTATTATAAAGATAACAGATTAAACAGAGATCCCTCAGATAAATACTCTTATAGCAGATACTCATTCATCATTCATATCAGCCATTTACATTACAAGGAATATGAAGACAAGCATTCAATAATCCAATAAAATACAAAAAGATCACAATATATTACAATAATCAATGGTTAGTAACATTCTTATAATAACCAGTATAACAATGACTACAGTAATTGCTAAAAATTTCAGTAATAAAAGAAACATTAACCAACTAGAAACTCATTTTTTACACACTGAGTCATCATCAACTGGTCTTGCTTGAACAGGCTGGAGGTTGGGGCGGTGGTTGAGATGAACTTGAAACAAGTCCCATCCCACCTTATGTGGCTGGTTCCAATCTGTATCTACCCTGAGGATCCAAGGCGGCCTGACCAGATGCCAAAAGAGAAAACCCTGTATCTGATCCATATTTCAAGGCATTCCCTTTATGGCTGAAAATTTTTCTTCCAAAGCTGAAGATGGTAAGATGGTATTGGTGGGTGGCAAAGTTTCAGCCTGGTCTGAAGAGCAGACCCAATAACCTGCAATGAGACAACCGGAGAAATTTTCTTGGAATTGAACCCAAAGACAAATTTTGAGCTCTTTATGTTGCCAATATACTTATTTGGGTCATCACACTGCTATTTTGAGTATTTCTCATTGACTCAATCCAAACGTTTTTGTTGATGAATTGCTCAAAAGCAATGGATGTAAGGCTTTCTTCAGCAAGATCCAGAACTCTTACATAGTCCAATATTGGCATGTTTCCCATACTGGGAAAGTAGCCAATGCATCTAGGATCAACTGAACATGTTAGAGAAGGATCCAGCAATGTGAGTTGAGTTGATAGAACTGGAAGAAATATCAGAATCATGATACGTCCCTCAGGGTATCCATTGCAGATACCTGCTATCTACTGGCAGATACCCGCCTGGCCCAGCGGATACCCGCTGTAAGACTCAAAAGTGGTTGTGAAACCCTTTTGCTGAATTGAGAAGGGGATGATGGAGGTGCAAACTCTGCCCTTCTATACTATCAGAAACAAGACCCCCAAGCTTAAAGTTTTAATAACGTGATAGGATTGGTCGGTTCCGTTATGAACTTTGTTTTTATGAAAAGTAAAGGTTGAATATGTAATTGCTGATAAAATAAAACTGTTATGTTATGTAACAGGTGAAAGGCTTATATGATTGTTTTTAACTGGTGAGTTGTATATTGATTGACTGCTAAGTGATGTACTGAGTGAATGAACTGAGGAGACAACAAATGGGGGGAAGAGAGCCTCCTTTTATAGACAAATGTGAGGGAATTTAGCTCCAGGGCAGACAAGAAAGAGTGATTTTAGCTGGCCTGTAGGTACAAATGAGTGAATTTAGCTAGTCTGATCATGCAAGTGAGGGAAATTAACCAGTGAGGCTGTGTACAATTAATGTCAAAGGCTGGTCCGGCAGTGCGTAACTAATGTGAAAAGTGGCAAAATGAGGCCAATAAAGTTGTGGGAAAAATCCCAGCTGTGTCATAAATGAGGTGAGAAAATTAATAATCTGTGGGAAAAGTAATTCAATCAAGACTGCGCAGCCTGCAAAGGCAGTGCATGAGGTGACAAATAGAACCAAACTAATTTATGCGGTGGAGATAAAGAGGTGTGGGAAATTATGTGTATACCGTGAGCTGTGTATAAGCATAACTGAGAGGTGAATTGAGAGTTGTGACATGTGCTTCACTGGGTATTGGCTTGTGATATGTGTCCGTAGGGGTGCAACTTCCAATCCATGAGGGTTCCATTGATGCGTCCAGTGGTGACCTAGGCTGAAATTGTCCGTAGAATCCATTTCTGAAGTTGTGTTGGTGGATTTCTGAGTGAATGTATGAGAAAAATGTGTATAAAGGAAAAACTTTGAATTTTTTACATATTTAATTACCGCACCGCCAGAGGATTTGGATTTGGGTTTGGATGCCCAATTCTCCTCGGAATCTTTGCAGGTATTCTCCAGGGATATCCGCCAGAGGCCACTTGGCCTTGAGACCTTGTACATTGGGTAGACAGTGAAAAGTGGCTGCTTCTATTGGATTCCAGAGCTCCAAAACACAGACTTGAAGTCATGAGACTTGGTCAGGTGGTGCATAATAGGTCCCAGAAAATGAATATGAAAAAGAAAGACAAAAAATAAAGTTTCAAAATTTGTGAAAAATAAAAAATAAAATTGATTTTTTTCAAAAGCTTTGATATTCATTTTGGGGGAGTGGGAGTGCTGAGAGAAAGAAAGAGTGGAACATGGGAAGAATGATTATAAATGAAAAAATTGGAACCAAAAAAGGTTTGTCCAGGTTGGTTGTCCAGATTGCAGCCAACACAGTAAATTCTAGTGCTTGACTGCAATGTGGGCTGGTGAATGCCCCACTCAAAAGCTGTTTGAAGCCATCTGGAAACCAATTTTTGCAAAATTTTCATTTATAATCATTTTTCAAACATCCCAATCTTCCTTTCTCTCAGCACTCTCAATCCTCCAAAATGAATTTCAAAGCTTTTGAGAAAGATGAATTTTATTTTTTATTTTTCACAAATTTTGAAACTTTATTTTTTGTTTTTATTTTTTCATATTCATTCTTTGGGACCTATTCTGCACCAATTCACCAAGTCTTTTGACTTGGATTTTGTGCTTTGAAGCTGTAGAACCCAAAACAAGCAGCCAAAAATAACGGTCCACCCACTGTACCTTGTTGGCCAGAAAGAAAACCTTCCGGCCAATGAGGTACATGTACCTTTCTGGCCAGAAGGAAGACCTTCTGGTTGATCATGGGCTGCCCCCTCCAACCACCCTTGGTTTAAGGGGCAGATATTGGGTGATACCCGCTTGTATACTTGACAAGGTGGAGGGATATCTGCCAGTGGATGCAGATGCAGGTGCGGATGGCTGATTCCCCTGAACAAGCAGCTGGATATCTGGATGCTCCGTGGTAATCTCTATTGCGCACTATGAAGTCAAGATGGCTTAGAGGACAGGATTTTTTCAACTTGATTGATCACAAGTTGCAAATAAAAAGCTAATTGGATTACAAAATAAAGCCACCAACAGCAGCTTTCTGTGTCACATTCATCTTAGCTGAGCCTTTTGGCACTTTTGCATGATGACGCACTGCTCAAAGTCTTGTTCAAGCTCAGCAGTTGCAGAGCCTCCTAACCAGCAGCAATAATGAGCCAGGGGAGCAGCTTTTTCCAACATAATGCAGCAGCAGATAGGCTTGGCATCAAATTCAGGCACTATAAATAAGCCAGAGTCTTTCCAGCACAAAATGCCTCTCTCAATCCCAAAAAAAGCTCAAGTTCAGAAAATTTCACATCCCAAACCCCACAGCTCTCCCTCCTAGCTAACAGCTAACAATCCAATCTCTTCTTGTCTGGTTACCCTCTGAAACTAAAAAAAAAGTTTCATAAAGGACCCTGAAATGACCCAAGTGGTTGGTGAGCAACTTGGCAAGATAATCTTCCTTCCAAAGCTTCAGCCTTGCACTGAAATTATCACTTCCTCCCTTTGATTTTGAAGAGCTGCTTCCAAGGTATGAGAGTGCTGCTGATGCCAAATGCTCCTGCTGTGGCCCTCAACCAAAATTAAAGAAGGATCCTTCTTTGACCATGGAATCAAAGATTCTCACCTTGAGGTAACCTGTTTCTGAGAGTTTACAACCTTGAAGTTGATGTTGCCCATCCCCAGATTTG